GAGCCTGCTTGAGTGGAAGAGCAGGTGTTGAGTGGATTCCGGCCGCATGTGCAGGACTTTTTTTTTTTCTTCTGCAGTGGAGATAGGGGGGATGCAGAAGGTTAAGTCGGGCCTGTTTCTCTACAGGGGGAATGTTCAAACATTGTACAAAAATAGTCAGGGGACGATCTTTCGATCAGTTTTTGACTACTTGGGAGCATGTTTGACTATTTCTTCTTTTTCGTTCAAAATCCGCCTGTAGGGAGACACGCCCGACCTAAGCATAAGGAGGTGCCGAAAGCGAGCAAGGAGAGTTTTGGGCTTTCACTGTTGTTAGACTGTTTAGCTTCTGGGATCGACTAGCCCCACTCGACGCCTGCTGGACGTGTCCAACCCACCCGAGACCCAAGTCATGCAGAACTCAACGCGTCGACGACGATGACTCTGCGCGATGCGACGTGCGGAGGAGGAGGAGGAGGAGGAGGAGGAGGAGGAGGAGGAGGAGGAGGACGAGGGAGGAGGGAGGGAGGAGGAGGAGGAGGAGGAGGAGGAGGAGGAGGAGCATTCCTGCAACGCCCCGATGGCCGATGCAGTGGCGGTGCGGAACGCGGCCCAGGCGACCAGGGGGCTGCTCTCCGCAGCAGGTCGCCGACGCGCCGGCGGTGCCGCGCGCAGCGGGGCATGGAGCTAATTATAAGGCACTGAGCTCTGCGATGGCCGCCCCAACCAATGTTCCCAGACCCCCGACGTCATGATTTTTTCATGACGCGACCCCCAGAGGTCCGGACCCATTCCCCGGGACCGGCTTTTCATCCTGAGTCGTTTTTTGACGGGCCTGAGGGCCGGTAAGGGCCCCTGGAGGCCGAAAGTAGCGAAAAACCTCGCGTCGTGATTTTTGTCATGACTCGAGGGGGTCTGGGTTAGGGGAACAAGAAGTGGCATAAACATAAAAGAACTCAGAGGTCCGCGCGGATTTCTCGGATCGGCGCTGGACCCCCCCTCCCTGGCGCGCGGAGCGCGCCATGGGCGGCGCCGGAGGCGCCGCCGGGGGGCCCCAGCGCCGATCCGAGAAGTCCGCGCGGACCTCCGAGGTTTTCTGCTTATGCCACTTTTTGTTCCCTTAAAGGTGCCCTTCGATCACTGCCCCAGACGCGAGCTGCTCTCAGCGCTGACAGGGGATGCCCACTGGAGAGGCGGTGCGAGCTCGGGCTTGCGCAGTGCCCCGGCAGCGCTGCGGAGGCCTACGCGGCGCGGGAGCGCGGCGCGGGCTGTGCGGGCGCGGCTCCTTCGCGCCCGCGGGGGTCGAGAGGTGCAGCGCGGCGCGGGATGTGCGGGCGCGGCTTCTCGCGCCCGCGGGGGTCGAGAGGTCGCGCCCGTACTCTTTCGCGAAGGGCAGCATCGCCGATGCGCAGGGGCGCCCCGCGACTGGCGACGCAGCCCGCCGCGCGGCGCGATCTCTCAGGGTCCCAGGCGCGGGAGCGCCGGGGGAGGCCTCGAGGCGCGCAGAGGCGCTCGGGAACGCCCGGGGGGGCG